CAGTTCTGGGCACCGCATTTCAAGAAAGCTGTGGAGAAATTGGAGAGGGTCCAGAGAAGAGCAACAAGAATGATTAAAGGTCTAGAGAACATGACCTATGAGGGAAGGCTGAAGGAATTGGGTTTGTTTAGTTTAGAAAAGAGAAGATTGAGGGGGGACATGATAGCACTTTTCAGGTATCACGGTGTCACGAGGAGGAGGGCGAAAACTTGTTCATCTTGGCCTCTGAGGATAGGACAAGAAGCAATGGGCTTAAACTGCAGCGAGGGAGGTTTAGGTTGGACATTAGGAAAAAGTTCCTAACTGTCAGGGTGGTTAAACACTGGAATAAATTGCCCAGGGAGGTTGTGGAATCCCCATTTCTGGAGATATTTAAGAGTAGGTTAGATAAATGTCTATCAGGGATGGTCTAGACAGTATTTGGTCCTGCCATGAGGGCAGGGGACTGGACTCGATGACCCCTCGAGATCCCTTCCAGTCCTAGTACTCTATGATGCTATGATTCTCACTTTGTTAAGCTGGCTGCATTTCTAACCCTTTTTAGTCTTGTTACATGAAATCGCCCTCCCACATGTGTGCAGAACCTCCTGGGTTAGTGGGGAATTGATGTAAATGGTGCAAATTAACAGGAATGGCAGTGGGATAAATGAAAGGTGGCATTGTTAGTGTTGGAGCTGCTGTGCCATTTCACAGGCTACTGAGCCACACAACCATTCTTGTCTATTAAAAATGTGTGGGGTGGGTTATTGGGGGGACGGGGCTTTCCCAGGTATGTGCTAAAGGGACACTCAGGGGATGTCTTTATGGCATCATGTGTCTGTGAGCTGGTTTTTCCCCTCGAGACTTGAACACAAAATTTCCTTAGGTCATCAGTGTGTTGGTTGCAGGGGGTGTGCTCAAATAATCTATACTACAAATACTTTGCTGGCATAGTTCTACCAGTCTAGCTATGCTGGCAATGTGTCCTAGTGGTGATGCAGCTTAAACTGACCAACATTCTACTGTTGGCATAATTAACCCAGATTCCCCCAAAGGAATGTGTTTTTGCCAGCAGGACTGTCTGCATCAGTGTTCCCTCTAAACCAGTTGTAATAACTTGGGAGAGAGATGGGGCATTATTGTGGGCAGCTCACGGAAACCACTGCTCATTGTGCAGTGGCTGTCAAAAAAGCAAACAAGCTATGAGTGTGCACAGGCATTTGATGGAAAGTAATGATTTAAAATCATTCTATAAATTAATGGCATGCTCTCACCTTAAGTGGTGTGTTCCTTACCAATTTTCCAATCTCAAAGGAGAAAGCAGAGCTAGCGTTCTGAGGAGTGTGCCAGAAAGAATTAGACGCCTGGAATGACTGGCATATGGAGAGAGAGTGAAACCTGTGATTGTT